TACTACTCATGATGACTGTTCAAAGTAATTTTTAGTATGCTAAAATCCACACCTAAAATGAAACAACACAAGAAAATAATACCTTGAAAATGGGTTTTAGATTTAATTAACCCAAAAATAAGAGAGAGAGAGAGCAGGCCAACCCATCACAGAACAATACAACAGAGAAGAAGAATGTACTTACAGTGGTTTCTCTGTTTGTTGTTTGCTTTCCTTTCTTTTCAGAACAGAAGGATGTTTGAAATCAGTTGGGTCCCCAGAAAGGAAGGAGTGAGGCTGTCAGATCATGATCTAACTATCGTTAGACTATTGTACTCTCTTTTCCCTCTCTAACCAAGGGTAGATCATGCTGGCAGCTTCACTTATTCCCTTGTAGACTTAATACAAGTTGAAGAAAAAAGTAACTAGGTTCAAATTACTTCATACAATGTTTGAAGAATAATATGATTGAAACCCTAGATGACACTTTGTCACAGCACAGGTGTAACTACAAGCAAGCCTAAATTTGATGCATCTTCATTGTGAAAATCAAAAGACACGAGATATTAAGACGATACGATCATTCATAAAACTGCAAATCATCACGGCCATACATCCTTCATGGGTATGCATGAAAGACAAACATATAAAGTGAAAAAATTTTAGGCTTCAATGAAGAAAAGCATGGTTTTGACAGACGGAAGAAGGCTCTACCACTTTTACGGTTTAAACTTCAAACAAAAACAACATGAAATAGATTGGGAAAACAGAAAGATTTTTAAGGGTATTGCACGAAAAAATTTCATTAGCCAAGAAAGAAGAACCATCCAGCAAGATGAAACCCTAAAGACTCAACTTCATAGTGGGTTCCACAAAAAATAACAGAGATCATGTTACCATACAAGGAGATTTAGAGCAGATATTGATAAAGAGATGCACAGAGACTGGACCCATCAAGCCAAACATCAAATTAAAGCCGCATCAAGAGGCAGCTGAGAGAGAGAGAGAGAGAGAGAACACAGCTAAGCAGCTATATACATAGGTTCATAGATGTACGATAAGTTACAGGTGGTAGAAGTATAGGGCGGCATGGCAGGCTGGGGTGGGGGCTGTGGTTGGGGCAGTCTGTTGTTGGGTAAAATACATTACAGGCAGACTTCTTACTTCTTCTTTCTTTTTTTGCTTATCCTTCTTACTTCAAAGATGAAAATCCGGCCCTTGATGTTGGGTAATATACCTAATGTATGATCCATTGAATCAACCCTATTTGGATAAGGTGAAGAAGATAAGTTTGTTGAATTGGTTACTCTTTTTCATGATGTCTAAATTTATAGTTCGTCTCTATTATTACTTGAACTATCTTTTGAGATTGAATTAGTAGTCTTTCATATATTTAGTAAGTGGTTGACTCAATGATATATCTTCCGCACAAAAAATGAAAGTTCCATATGATCAAGACTGGTAAACCACTGGGAACTAAAGAATACAGAAAATACTAAATGGGTAACCTTAGGAGATCCAAATACACCTTGGGTAGCGGGAAAAAGGAGTATTTATCTGCTTCTAAAACTGTTTGGGCAAGGCAAATTCAGGACTTGTCCGAAAATAAAAATTTCAAAGCAAAGCAATGCAATTGTTCCTAGAACCCATATAAGGTCCAAATAAAGATGTATCAGAGGGGCATTGACACCTCTTTTACTTCAATTTGTCTTTGATTTGTTTGGTAGTACTTTAATTTGTTGCCGGTGTAGCAGAAGAGCATATAAATGCATATGCATGCATAAAAGATGAGTCTAGGGAGTAAGTATAGAAGAAAAGAGTCTAGACTCGATCTAGAGGGTAGAGTGGTCCTATTTGCTCTTCCATAAAGCAGCTAAAGCCTATTTCACACAGTTGGAATGCTAACAAGATCGACATCTTAGTAGCCTCACAAAACAAGCCACTCAACCACCAACAGAATTAATGACCTCTCATCAAGTAGACCAAACTGACCTGGCTTGTTTCTTGTCTAATCGAATTTAAAACCAGTTGCCACCAGAAATGTAAACTCTCTCACTCTTGAACAGCCATATCTCAAAGTGACATTGACCCTAAATTGATCAATCTTTACCACTTTAAGGGTGGGGGTGAAAGGGGGTTTAAATACAACCGAAGCATAGTGGTTTATGATTAAATCTGACAGACATTCTTATCATTTGATAGATCTAAGTCCATGGCCTATTCCGGTTCACTCGGAGCACAATGACAATTCCGGTTCACTCGGAGCACAATGACAATTCACAATGACAATTCTCAGAATCTGTCTGTCTAATAGCTTTCTGATTAGACCACACCAAAAATCAGGTATTGTGGAAAAAAGATACTCTAATTTATTAGGAATTCTCGACATTATTGATTTGCATGTTTGTGAAGTTGTCAAACTTTGATTGGCAGCATATATGGTTGGTGCATATATTCTTCTTCCTCAACTCTTGTTTGACAAATAAATTTTCTGATCTTTTCCCTCAACTATGTCAACTCATCAAGAGTCGAACTAATTAAAGAAACAATATAATCACATGCATGTAGAAAGCAACCAGGGGATTTGATATAGACCAGGAGAAATTTCCGAAGAAGTGCTTTGTGCTTACAGAACAGTAGGTCATGAAACCAGCGAGACCAAGATCCATTGACGGTCAATATTGCCATGAATTTCAATCCCACTGCAAGATCCTTGAGCCCACCACCACAATTAATTATACAAATAACAGTGAAATCCTCCGGCGAATCTGTTCCCAAACGTATTTCTTTGATACAATTCAATCATCTTCTGTGCTGGTTGATTTAGTGAAAATAGTTCTTTCAAACGTTCTGTCAAACATCTTCTCCGCATCCAACATATACACGCATGAACCATTCATAAGCGCAAGCGCAGTGCCCAAAAAACATTGAATCGGACACAGAATTAGACTTGTAAACATGGGCATGGATTTGTCGGCCTGGTAACAATGCTTTTTTGAATTCAAAAAGCTCAGCAAATGATCAATAAGTTTCATATATACCATTTTGAGTATGGTTTTGGTCCGTGAAGATATTGCCGAGTAATGCAAGAGCTGTCCAGGCTGCCAAATATCTTTCACAGAAGAGTTTTTGAGAGAATATTTGGAATTTGAGAGGTGGGTTTTTCTGGGATTCCTTCAAAGTGGGTGGTGTCGTCAAGTTCTAACTCAAGAAAAAAGAAAGTATTGACGTAGCCATTTTCGGGGTTGATGGTTAACGAGCAGAAGAGCGAAGACGGTGGTGGTGCCCCACGCATAATTGGCTTTCAATAAATATACTCAGATTTAACGTAGCATAACAAATCCGTTGTCGTCCAGCGGTTAGGATATCTGGCTTTCACCCAGGAGACCCGGGTTCGATTCCCGGCAACGGAAAATTTACCTTTTACTTCACAATTTTGTGTGTAACAATCAATGGNTATTTTATGGGTTCAATATACTTTAAAGTTCAAAATCAAGCTTATTATTTGAATGTCTAATAAAATATAGATATTTATATAATATTTTTCATATTTTCCTTTATATAAATATCTACGTTCTATTAGACATTCAAANCGAAATTTTCTATAACTCCACATAAGTTTTTAAAAAATATCATACTCCCCTTTATATTTTGNCCCCACTCTTTTTTTCTATAACTCCACATAAGTTTTTAAAAAATATCATACTCCCCTTTATATTTTGAAGAAATTCTATATATGGTGTATTATTAGAGTGTATTTAAAAGCTTAATCGTTTGATGAACGGTGAATGTAACAAATGAATGAATATTTGCTGTTTAGATGAGTTTTATGAACAAAAAAAAGTAAAATTATTATAAAATTGGGTTACAAACGCAACTTATATTATATTTACTCTAGTACTCTATGAAATTATTATTTGTCAATTATAATTAATTTATAGTCATTGCATAATATCATAAATGTTAGAATAAATAGGCGGTGACATTGTCACTAACCGGTATGTGAAAATCAAATTTTGAATCTTACGACCCAAACTAATTTTTTTTAATGATGATATTGTATGAAAGTTGATTTTCCTAAATTTTATACAACTAAAAAAAGTCATTAATTATAACTTTGATGAATAATTCCATTGAGTAAAATTCTTGCGCAAGCCATTTTTTGGGCCCCTCCGTATAAAATCTTGATTTCGTCCCTATTTATTGTAATCTAAAATTGGAATAGCATTAATCTTGAATCTAAATCTTTCTCCTATTTTTTATTTTTTATTCTCCCGACCACAAATTTACCCTTAAGAGAGGATTTAAAAAAACTCAAGTCATAAAATTACACGACCCAACAACAAGAATTCAATCAANAAATTCTTGCGCAAGCCATTTTTTGGGCCCCTCCGTATAAAATCTTGATTTCGTCCCTATTTATTGTAATCTGAAATTGGAATAGCATTAATCTTTCTAAATCTTTCTCCTATTTTTTATTTTTTATTCTCCCGACCACAAATTTACCCTTAAGAGAGGATTTAAAAAAACTCAAGTCATAAAATTACACGACCCAACAACAAGAATTCAATCAACGAGAGAGAGAGAGAGAGAGAGAGACCCATCTATCCTTTGGTATCTGCAATCCACCACAAAAACCATATGAAACATCAAACATGAAAACCAACCTAAATCCAAAAATGTCAATCTAAAGCCCAGATCACCACCACCAATGCGAGCTGTCCCCTCCGGTTGGGAAGGTGACATATCGACCNACGAGAGAGAGAGAGAGAGAGAGAGACCCATCTATCCTATGGTATCTGTAGTCCACCACAAAAACCATATCAAACATCAAACATGAAAGCCAACCTAAATCCAAAAATGTCAATCTAAAGCCCGGATCACCACCACCAATGCGAGCTGTCCCCTCCGGTTGGGAAGGTGACATATCGACCATGGCAGCCGAAACTGTTTTTGGGAAGTTGGGAAGGTGACATGCAGGTTGTGGGCTGCATCCCATGGGGCGAGGATGAAAAATTATTCATGCATTGTGTCAATCTTTGTTCTTTCTTCTCTTTCTCCTTTTTCATCTATATTTATTGGCACTGCCCATTATCTATACACTACAGATCCTCTTCAATTCGAGAAATCTTAACTGAATACAAGAGAGAGAAAGAAACCATCTATATTAGTTTTCGAGAAAAAGTTTTTCTATTTTCGGGAACAGAAGGGCATGTCGCAACTCCTGAGCAACTTCAACAAGGATAAAGAAAATAGGAAAAATCCCAACCTTCAAAATGAATAATTATACCTCTGTGTCAGCGCGTTAGGAACATGGGGAAATTCATTTCACTCGCACCAGATAATTGATCATACATGGGGAGAGACTTGCGCATTCACCAACAAAAAATGGGGCGCAATTGCCCTATTGAAATCACCCCCGCTCAACCAATGAGTTGTCCCTCTCGTTCAAACTCACCAGACCAATTACACCCAACGTTCCACTCCGAGCAAACACTTT